CCTATTCAAAATTGGCCACAGTTTTGCTGTAGTGTATTGCACATGGCCGCTACGTCACGTGACCGGGTGAAAGGTAAGGAGAAAGCGAGCAACACCTCAAGCTGATTTCCCAGAGATCCCCCTACGGGTAGGTCTTTTGTCGTAAAAACCTTAATGGTGGAGGCAGGTGGTGCCTTTATTGCATGAACGAGAAGACCTTAAACGGACTCTCTTTCCTGCCAATACCGTTAAGGGTTTTCTCTTCCTTGTCTTTACACATTAGTTTGGGTGTTGCCCGCTAATTCTCTTTTAAGTGGAACGAGTAATGAAAGCCAGACAAGCAAACAACCGCTAAATGCCGACGTCTTATCTCTTCCTTCAATTTATTAACAATAAATTGAAGAAAACAACAAAATTTCATCGCCGCTACATCAAAAAAAAAAAAAAGGGAAAAAAAGGAGGAGAGAGAAATACACTCGCCGAATCTCCAATACCGTGTTGATAGAGTATTAATTTTAATAGCGATTGACTTCGAACTATTTCCACTTCATAAAATTACTTGGAAAAGTTAATGATATGCAATTGTTGTCTATACTTCGATCTGGTTTGCGTGAATTAAAACCATTTAATGTAATTATTATTTTCATTTTGTTTTATTTTCAATAACAATAACATAATACATTATGAATAATAAGTAATTAAAATAATTTAATGACTTTTTCGAGTTGTAATGAGATTTAAGACGGCAGCTTATATTAGCAACTCGCTGCACCATCTGTCGTTTATAATTATTACTAATTACAATATTTACGACATACGTTTATTTACTTCTTTAAAAATGGTACGTAATATAAAACAATTATAAAATATTTAAGTAATATTTAATAATTATTATTTTTAATAAAATATTTAAAGAATATATCATTGACGTCACATTCGAGTGTCGAGGAATTTTTGTTGATTTAATATTTGGGATATTCATCTAGAAAGTTTATGTAAATCCCACGAGTAAAGCGAATCTCCTCTTATCTTTCATGTTTTGGGGTGCTGAAGGAGCTTTAATTATGGAATCGTATCGACGATTTAAAAATCTTTTAAAGCGTTTAATGAAACAAATTAGGTATTTTCGGTACGGATATATTTTAAGGGGTGTTTAGGATTTCACTTCTTAATTTGTGTGTTGCCCAAAGGCTTCTTTTCTATTGAATGGATTTGAGCGGGTGTGACAAAAAGACCTCAATTTCTTCGCCGTTACGCTTCCAGTAATTTCATTAATGGCTTCATTTATCCTTTCCCCCCGTTTTTACGCCGCTGAAAAAGGAGGAACTCGGTTCAATTTTCAATTTTGTTTCTTCCCCCAGCAAACACACAAGTTACAAAAACATTTTTGCTTCTTTCTCTAGCGGAAAACTTACGCAAACTGACTGACTTCGGGCCTTTTTACGCTCTCACAACTTTTAACACGCTCTTTTTTCCTCTCTCTCTTCCCCTTCTTCTTCTTCTTCCTTTAATTTCTTTTTTTAAACTTGTAAAATTTATAATATAAAATTGCTTTTTGTCCCGACTTTTAGGCGAAATTTTTCATCGAGCGCTGTTGNAGAAGAAAACTTTACAAATTGATAATAATAATAATAACAACAACAACAACATGCAAAAAAAAAATAGAAAAAGTAGCGCCCGTATATTTAGACATCAGAAGAACTTTATCTGACATTTTCTGAAACTATAAACTGCAATAAAATGTTTCAAAAATATCAGAATAACGGAAGAAAACAAAGTAAAAAATAAATAAATAAATAAAAATTCAAAATATGTAATCATAGAGTTTAGGAAGATGAGATCTGGAAAGAAAATACAATAAAAAAAAATATAAATAAATAAATAAATATATATATATATTATATATAGAAAATATTTGGGAACATATCAAAGCTCAAAAAAACAAACAAAAAAAAAAAGTAAAGAAAATAAATTGTTCAGTCCCCAACCGAAACGAACTGGCTAATTGTTTTAGGTACGGGAACATCTTTATTCGTTTCTTATGCGTGTGTCCATGTGTCTCCCACCTGCAATTCCTAGCCAGTATTGTGTCAGCTGTGAGCCAATGCGCTTTCTCTCTGTTTATTGTACCTTGAGAATAAAATATGATAAAAATAAAGCTTTAGAGAAACTCAATCTACGTTTGTTTTCTGTGGATTAATATAGCTACAACAGCAACGACACTTGTTCTCCAGACGAGGACATGACAAGTAATTAGTTTGTATCGTGTGACATGAGAACTGTCAACCTCTGAATGGCGTTTTAAATCATTCTTTCTTCGTTTTTGTCGCGATTAAATCGGAGTAAAATTCGTGCACCGACTTTACTCTTTACAATTAATTTCTATCGTTTTAATCGGTAAAAACACTTAAAACGCAGATTTACCATACGGATGGCGCTTAGAGAATTTCGAAAAGAAAAAAGAAAATCGTGATTATCTTATAAGTTTTTTTTTTTTTTCATTAAAAAAGAAAAAAAATATATAGCAAAATTTATTCTTTTATAACTCATTAACTTAAACTAATCAGAAAGTTTATTGCAAAAACAACAGGAGACATACCTATAGGCCTGCTTCTTCAACTGTTTTCGTTTAATCACCCAAGAAATGATGGACTAAAAAACATCGTTACGTATCCCCTGGCTATGAGAATATGTTTTACTTCTTCGTTCTTCTTGGATAAAGTAAGGAAAACATTTGGAAGACGGTTATTGTTATTGGTTGAGAAGGAAAGCCACACACTCCGGGGCAAGACATGATAGAAAAGTTATTCTAGCGATAAATAACTGTTACAATGCACTATTATGTAGATATGCAGTGTAACCACTTGTTTATTTATCAGTTATATAAGCCGTATCGAGTTACAGTTTAACAGCAATATCCGTTCACAGAATAGATTTTTTTTATATGTTTAACCTGTCACAAATAACACACACACACACACACACATNTCTCCGTTTATATAATATAAACAAATAGGGTTTAAGTGAATAGAAAATGGTATAGAAGGAAGTTTAGTACTGTATTTGGATTATTCAAGACAATTGTTCAGGCCATTTCCTACACAAATTAATCTCATTGTTTTCTCATCAATCAAATTTTTTTTTTTACATCGTGCTCGAGGAAATTTTTACAAAGTTTTTCCTTAATCGAATTTATCGCTAAAGATATTTTGGTTTTCACTTAATTTTTCAAATTATATATATATTTTCTTTGTTTCTTTCGGTATTGGCCTTCTTCCGTGATGCATTGTAACAAGAATGACGATCAAACCAGCGACTACAATGTCGAAGAATCTACTAGAAAGCCCCAAGCTTCTTTTCTGTATTCTTTGTTTACCGAATTGTTACAACGTGATAGACGTACTTAACAAAATGAATCTGTTTAATTACATCAACGCAACAAGGCTCTGTATTTGTTTGTTGACATTTTCCTGCGGCTACAATTATCCTCTAATTACGTAGACAAAACAACAGTCACGTGGTTAAACGTCAATGGATAAAATGTTTTTTATTGTTACGTCACGCCACTATGCATAGAGTTTTACGGCATTTTGTTGANTTTTTTATTGTTACGTCACGCCGACTTACTTTCGCTTTCTATCACCGTCGCCATCTGTTAGCGCTGAAATGCATTTCTCGTTTTTTTTTAAATGTTTCTCGAATTTTAGTATTTATTAATAATAATTAATTAATTAAAAATATTAAATTAGCATTTTAATGAAATTAATTTGCTTATATGATTTTAAAATTTTATATTATACATGTATATAAGCTATATTCTAATTCATCGATTAAAAAAATATTCAATAAAAATTATTTAAGAAAATGTTCTTGCTGGATTATTATTATTTTTACATTTTCATTTAAAAAATAATAAAATAATTAAAGAATCGGCGTTTGGCTAAAGGGAAAAATAAAAATAAAAAAAATTTAATTAATTTTATTTCTTGCAGTTGTCAACAGATGGCAATATTGAACAGTGTTTAATTTTTCTAAATTAAAAAATCGATAATTTCATTTAAAATATGGTTAAAAGTATTTCTTTTTAATAAAATATTTAAAGAATATATATATAATTAACAACAAACGTGTTGAGGTATTTATAATAAACACTTTATTTTACAGTTATAAAAAAAAATTCAACACAAAATATATTTCATCATTAAAAAATATTATTTTAAAATGTAATAAATACATATAATTACGTAAAATATTAATTTTTTTAATGTTTAAAGCGTAAATAATTAAGTTTTAAATGAACATTTTTCGTGTGTTTAAAATGGCGAAATAATTGAATCACATGACAAAAAATTTTAAAAATTTGTAATATATAAAGAAGGGAAATTTCACAAGTTTAAAAATTTTTCTAAATCAGTTTTACTTACAGATAAAATAATATCGCATAAAAACTAATTTCATATTTCCCAAAAGAATTGATTCTAAAATAACGCTGCCATCTCTCGGTAATAAATAAAACAAATAAAGATGTAATAATAATTTTTTTATTTATTTAAATAAATGAAAAAAAATTTTTTTTAACCGTTAAATAATTATTTAATATTTGTCGTTTCTTACCGATTAATAATATTTAAAAACGGAAAGAATGTGTCGTACGATAACGCTTATCATCCACAATACAGCGCTACAATACTAGGAACTTAAGAGATTCTAAAATACTTGCGAAACATTTATCAAAAATAACTTACATTTTAAATATTATTAATTTTTAAAAATTTAAAAAATAATATATTGATTTTAATATTAAAATTTTAAATATTTGTTTAAAATTAAATAATTGAAAATTAAAATAAATAAATAAATCGAAATTTTCACATCTCCATCTAGCGGTAAATAAGATCAAATTTTATTTTTTTTTAAATTATTTATTAAATTATTTTTAAAATAAAATATGTTCATATCTTTTGAGTTATTAATTCTATTTTCTATATAAAAATTAATAAAACAATAAATTATAATTGGGAAATTCGATTTTTATTTTTTATTATTATTGGTGCAAAACTTTGATGATCAAAATATACAAAATGGAATTCCTTTTCCTACAATGAATAGATACTGTTTATAACTGTAAAAAAAATGTGTAGTACATTCGTATGTCGAGCTGCGCGTAGAAATCTACCAGTAAAATACTTGTGTTTAGTTTTAAAATGAGTCACTGTTTAATTTTTGCTGATCATCTGAAGCAGGAACTGCACAAACATTCGTGCAATCCGATAAATGGCCCATAAAGATGATTAAACCAGTATCCAAATCTTCAATCAAGAACATAAAGGGACGATTGAAAGGGATATAAATGGCTCCTAATCTGCTTTCTACACCAAGAAGAGTTGTAGCTGCAGCTTCGACGCCTTCTTCACTCACTTCTACGGTTGCTTGATGGATTACGTCCTTCAAAAATAAACCTTTATTCTGATCGATCCCTCCCAAATCAGCATTAACCGGAGAGAAAAGGGTGTGCATGCCTAAATCTATCAAAGCCTCGGCCAAATCCTCCTTACTCTCCAATTTGAATTTTGGCAAGGATAGCTTAATCATCTTTGGGGTTGCTTCCTCGCTGATGATTCTCTGCAAAGTTTTGTAATTAAGAGTTTTGCCCACCTCTTCTAGTGACCCGTTTTCTCCCGGCATAACGAAAGTCATGGCAAATTTTCCTTGCAGCGGCAATCGAAGCACGTGAACGTCGTCCAGATGACTGTATCTATAAGTAAAATTTGAAGTGGACAGCATCATAGCTGCTTGAACAGGAACCTTATCTATATTATAAAAAGTCGACACTGTGGTTAACTCGGGGTCGAATTTCTGCACCCATTCTCCTTTATAGTGAATACCGTTGAGAAGCAGAAGAATGGTATCCGAAGTAGGAACTTTAGTAAGAATATCTTTAATTAACCCATTAGTTTTTATCTCCACTAATATATTAATCCAGTCTCTAACTAATTTCCCGTGGTTGGCCATATCTAAATCATATAAAATCGAATTAAAATAATGAAATAATCGATGTTTATATGTTTCGGAGACGGGTGATTCCTGTTGTATCATGGCAGCATTGAAAGTAGTAAGATCCACTTGCGCTTTTCTCTTAAGTAATCGTTCTAAATGCCCGTAGCTCACAATCATTTCCTTACCAGTAACACCAGCTTCGTTCTTAAACAAAACTTCTTCCATCTCTCGTTTAGTATAATTTTGAGCTCCCAGATAAATCGAAGCCAAACCTCTAGAGATGCTCCATGGAGAAATTACAAGATTCTTCTCTTTAAGAAGATCCTTGTACAGAGCAAAGGCGAAATTGTTGTTAGATTCTATGAAAGCCGAAATGCCCGAAGAAACACCTCTTCCATATCCTTCGATGAACGGTAAAATCAGGGAAATTGCGAATAATATTAATAATAGTTGCATCTTGTTTTACTAAAAGAAAAAGTAAAATAAATATTTTAAAATTGTTAATTAATTGATTAGAAAATGTAAAATATAAACTCGTATTTATTTAAGACATAAACACATTTATTTTAATATTAGGAATCGAATTTCAAAAATTTAATTCTTCGGATGCAAAGTATTGCATGAAATCTGGCGATTGAATAAAGCTAGGTGCGGTACAATATTTAAAATAAACTTGTTATAGGCGATTTCTCCGTTTATATAATATAAACAAATAGGGTTTAAGTGAATAGAAAATGGTATAGAAGGAAGTTTAGTACTGTATTTGGATTATTCAAGACAATTGTTCAGGCCATTTCCTACACAAATTAATCTCATTGTTTTCTCATCAATCAAATTTTTTTTTACATCGTGCTCGAGGAAATTTTTACAAAGTTTTTCCTTAATCGAATTTATCGCTAAAGATATTTTGGTTTTCACTTAATTTTTCAAATTATATATATTTTTTTATTTAGTATGTTAAGCTTCTTATAGATTTTTTTTCTCTCCACTCTAATTCATATACACGTTCAATTAATAATCACTAATTGTATTGAATTTATAAAAAAAAAGGTGTTTATATGTGTACGTGTGTGTGTAACTTATATAAAGAAAAGCATCTCAGAGGCCCAGACCACTTAACTTTCAAGGCCCCGGGTATATTATTATTAAATATAGCAAAACAGTGTTAAAAACTATAATATTCTTTGAATGATAAA